AATATCTAAAGTTACTGTTTGTTTAATAAATTGTCGTCTTGTTGGAGTTAAACTCTCGAGTGATTTATCGATTTGTAATGCCTGTTGAATTCATTATTTACTTAAATGACTGTCAGAGCTTGTTATTGATTAGCGGCCACAAAAAGCAAGGCATATTTTTTAAAACGTTTTTTAAACATGGCTAGTTAGCAAATATTTGCCAGTTTTCTTATTTTCCTCCTATATTTGGCTTTTAATAAGGCATTCCTTGGACAGGGGGTGGGGATAGGGGTCAAAGGTTTAAAAACATCTGGAAATTATTATTTTTTTCCACGTTCCATTTTTTACGCGTGCAAGGAACCATTAAATTGTTCTTAACCTAAAAATGCATTTATAAAAACTGAAGCACAACAAAACAAGGTTGAATAATAACTATTATAAAGACTTGTCAATTTCAATAATCAATTAGTGTTATAGGCTACAATGTCAGAGTAAATAAATAAAAAAAATCGAGCACGTTATTTGACAGAACTTTGTCCCCGTTCACCTAAATCACCTACAAGAGTAATTTTCGTAATTTTTATAACTTGATATAAACGTCTTATGTGTTCCTATATAATTCGTTTCTCAGCTAATACTTTCGAGAAATATTTATTAGGTATAATTATGTTTCTAGTTTTAGTATGGTAAAAAATGTAATTTTACTGAGATATATCTTGCAGTCTTGTTTTATTTATGCCAGGCTGTTTAGTTGAGCGTTTTAGCTCTGTTCTCTTTTTATACTGTTACAACCGACTGTTGGCACACTGGAGCGAACTGCACTTTTGCAGTCTTGCGGAATGTAGACAACCATTGTCTTTGTTAGAAGTTTTTTCATTTATAAACACATAATAGATTAAAAAGCAGATAGACAGCAGATGAAAGAATTGCTGTAGGCCAGACATGTTGAGCCAGCCATGTAAAATACGGGCTTGAGAAATCAAACGATTAATTCAGCCAGAACCTCCAAACAAAAGCATTCTACTTGGTATGTGAGTCAGTGTTTTGTTCATTTCTGCGTTGCTTTTCAGTAAATGTAAAACAAATAGGCTATACGTAATATATCGAAATGTTTTAACTCAATCTACTAAAATCTATTGTTGTAACTCGAGATACAGACAAGGAGATACCCTATTTAACATTTTAGTGTAACTGAAATAAAATAGATGTCTTATTTCGATTAGTTGTCCTGATAAATATTAAGCCATATTTAAATATGCAGCTGCGCACAGCGACGTGTAAAGCTTTTTGCAATCATCGGCAGCAGAAACTGTGGGGCCTTGCAATGCAGCGCTTGTATTTATTTAGCATATAACCGGCCCCAAGTGATGTGGTGTTTTGTGATTATATAAGCGATGTGATTTAAATGAATTTTGTGCATGATTCACATGATACGGTTAATGAATAGGCCTCAAGTGTAAATCAGGAGAAACAAATGAGGAGAAACTGAGGATGAGATGAAAAAAAACAGACAACAAGTTGTGAATAAGCATTACAGCGTTAAGTATCTGTAAGTATCGTTGCAAGGTCAGCTCGAGGCGATTCGACTTTGAAAGAAGGGCTCAAGTGGCAAATGCATTACAGGTGCGCGCAGGCAGTGTTAGGGGCTCGTGCCAGTGAAAAGGTGTCTTTGTTGTGATCAGCTGCGCGTTTCAGGGTTGAGTTGCGCGTGAGGGGAATATGATACAGCAGAGAGAGCCTTCTGGTATTAACATGGCACGTTTTAACCACATGCACATCTCATAACACGCCTGAGAAGTGTGTTTGTGTGTTTGTTTATTTCAAATCGATGCGCATGCTGTGTGATATATTTGACCATTTCCTGATACATTTTGCGGTCTCTTTAAATTAGACGAATGTAAGACAATCTGTCCAATTAATTTTCAATAGAGTTTAAGTGCGTTTTTGTGAGGTGCTGCTAAATTATTGTAGGCTAATTCAACAGTTTGTATTGTTCCTTATAATAATAATAAGTGTGTAAAAATATGCACTATAAAAACAACAACAATAAAAATAATAATAATAAAACTAAAACGGTATATATAAACTAAAAACAATGAAATATAAGCTACACCTTTTTAGAATCTATTTATATTCAACACTAACGTAAAAGTAAAAAAAAAAGTTTGATCGGGCAAACAGCAAACGTAGAACCATAGGCCTGCTTTAACTCGGCCTAAATCACATTTCATGTGAACAATTTTGTTAGAAGTAAACATATTTGCTAAATGTTAGTAATTAAGTTACAGTATATAAATTAACTTCATTAGTTTTATTCCTCTTTTTTCTCACAATCTGAGCTAAACAAAAATAAAGCAATAAACACGTCCATCAGCCATGTGAATAAGCGCTGTGCTCTTAATGAAAAAAAAAATCTTTTAATGTTATGATACAACATATTAGCTGCTTTTAATGACACATTAAAATGTTATTAATACTTCATACATATGTATATCTATAAAAGTTAAATAAATATTTAACAATAATCCAAAACCTTGTTAACACATGACAATAGGCTACTCCTAAATTGTTGCAGAGCACGAAGGCAACTGTCTTTAAATGTTAAATGTTTAAATCGTAGACATTAATAATAATAATAATAATAATAATATATATATATATAATTTCTCACGGACAAAACGGAATTGCAAATCAAATTTATGTAAGCATAAAGCCGTGGACTGCGAGAAAGGTTGAGGATTATCACGGATTATCTGCTTGACGATGAAAAATAAACACAAGAAAAATAGACACGAGTTTTTTACCTTGACAGCGTGTTACAAAAATGTCAAAGGGTAAAATTGTGAGACGGGTGTGAGTAAAAGTTCCTTATCAATGAAATCCAAATGCTCTGATAAAGCAAATAATTCCAAAATATAATAAAGAAACAAATAAATAATACCGGACAAAGGGTGAGACTAATTATAATACTAAGCAAGTTCACTGAAATATAAAAAAATAGCAATATAAATGTAATATATGATACCTAACAGTATATAACAATTATACATGATTGAAGGTATCTTTCTATAGAAATGATGAGAGAAGATCAATTAACGACAGAATACACTACATAAAATTCTCCACATTGCTATCAATTTTTTAAATAATAATTATTAACATTTAATTATTACATTTGAAAAAAGTCTATACAAATAATATTTTATTATTAAAACCGCTAATACACTTAATTTCTCGACTTTTGGAAGCAGTGAGCAAACCAGTTGTTACAGAGAGGATAATTTGAGTTCCGTGCATTTTTAATTAAGAATCTTTTGAAATTACTTCCCAACAGAAAATATAAATAAAGCATTATATAAAATTCTGCGACTCAACGTTAGGGGTTTTCACGTCCCTTAAATGTTTTTATGATAGGCTACTTTCATTTGTTGGTCCAATTGAATTTCACGTTTCCTACTGCTTTTACAGGAACATCAGCAGGGTAGTCAAACAAAATACCAGAAATGTCCCCGCTCAAGCGTCAAAAATAAATTCGCCGGGATATATAACGTAGTTAGCGGCTGCTCGCGGCCTGTGCACCTGTACGCGGTAGAGCTCGCGACCCAGGCCAGTGGAAAAGTGCTTTTGACGCTCGCGGACCGGCGAGGCGCCGTCTGGTTCCAATCAGGCCCGCTAACACTGGTGCGTTGTTTTAGGCGCTTAAATGGCAACTCTACTGGCTCGAGATGCCGTCTCAAAAACACAAATACACATACATCAACCGCCCCCACTTTCGCCTGTCTTATGAGGGTCTCAAAGACCTCACTTTCTTTGGACGTCGGTGTCAAATGACCTTCATTTGGCACTTCGAATAGACTAGAATATCCGTGGCCTCTTGAGTCGTTTAACATGCAGAGACTGATTTTACCGGGTCTCTCTCTCCTCGCTTGAGGACACTTACGCTGACAGAGGTCTCTTGAATCTGTTGTTACTTTGATGAGGACAACCGTGTCGCTATTACAAATAAACACGGCAGAGGATTTTCGCACACAGCGAAATGTCTTCACTGTCAGGGTTCAGTGGCCCAGCTGCGCCCGACGTCAGAGGTGATTAAACATGAGCTGCTTTACAAGGCCGAGTTACTGCTCCCTCAGCTGCGCGCGGTGGGCCGTGCTCGAGCATCTGGAAAGAAGGACCGCGAGGCCTCGTGGACGAACGTTTCCCTCTCGATACAAGAGAGCGGTTGTGCTCGGCGCGAGGGGCTCGATGACCGCCAGGCAACCCGCGAAAGCTGGCACGAGCCGCTTTCTGACGCATTTCACCGTATTTCAACTTCTGAGGCCTGAGAGAATGAAACTGAAAAGTTGATGTTTACTGACTGTAACCATGTAAGCTTTTACTTACTGAGTCAGCAATATTAGCCAATATTCTATACTTTTGCTATCTCCAGTGTTGTTTGTAATTACAATATTATTTGGGGTTAATCATTTTCATCAATTCTTTCATAATAGGCTATAGGCTATTCTTTCATAATATTAATTTTTTTTTTGAAAACGAGCAGTTCTATAATAATTACCAGTACCAGACCAAATATATTGTCTTGGACAACTGGGGACCTTGGCGTCAAAAAGGTTGAGAACCACAAATTTGAGAAAAAAAGTTGAGAAAAAAAAATTCACACACAACTAATTTTTAAAACTTCATATACTACATATTCATGGAATATGTATGGAAACCTATGTAATTACAATATTATTTGGGGTTAATCATTTTCATCAATTCTTTCATAATAGGCTATAGGCTATTCTTTCATAATATAAATTTTTTTTTTGAAAACGAGCAGTTCTATAATAATTACCAGTACCAGACAAAATATATTGTCTTGGACAACTGGGGACCTTGGCGTCAAAAAGGTTGAGAACCACAAATTTGAGAAAAAAAGTTGAGAAAAAAAAATTCACACACAACTAATTTTTAAAACTTCATATTTTGTATTTGCATTTTAAATAATCAGGAAACGATTTTTAATGTTCCAATCAATTAATGTGATTCCTTAAACTGAAAAGACATGAATAAAACCGCAAACAGCTTTAAACAGCTCTACAAACCCTTTAATCCCTTATTTACAATTTTTTTTTCATGATTATGAATAAAAACCTCTTTATAAAAATGGATAAAAATCATTTAGACAACACAAACTAAAAATCCATACACATAACCTTAAATATGACACTTAAGGAATAGAGAAAGGCAACACCCTCAAAACACAGCGAAACTGAGATCCGAAAGCTGAAGCAGCAGAGAAAATGACAGACGGAGCAACAGAAATGCAGCTGAATGCTTCTTCCAGTGATCACACACAAACACATGACAACTGCCTCTTTGGCATGCATGGAGATGAAGGCGTGTGGGATCAGGCATTCGGGTTGTTCCGCATGAGCTCGATGTCTGCATCCACCATTTCTTTAACAAGCTCCTGTTGGAATACACACACATTATTTCTCAATCTCGAGTGCACTGGAAATGAACCTCTTTGATTTTTTTATACAGGAACGCTCACCTCGAACGTCACACGTGGTTTCCAGCCCAGGATCTTAAAGGCTTTGGAACTGTCTCCCTGTAGGAAGTCCTAGAGAAAGACAGAAAGAGAGTGAGACGGGGAAAAAACAATGACGAAAAAGGGAAAAAAAGCAAAGGGGTGGTTTAGTTCTTTTAAAATATATTCAAAAAGAAACCATTTTAAATTGTAATAATATTTCACAATATTACTGTACTGATCAAATAAACTTGATGAGCATAAGAGACTAATTTTGAAAACATTTTACTGACCCCAACCTTTTAGAACAGAATAGTATATATAAACGTATAGATTTCGGAACAAAACATTAATTTCACCATTTTCATATGTAAAAGAGACAGAGTACAATGCAGGAAAATCTGAATCAACACAAAGGAGAATGTCTCTATCTCAGATTCTTGTTTCAAGTGTTTAATAAATATTTAGATGATTATGTAAACCCTCTCCAGCAAAGAGACACTAACCCCAAGTGTCTGACACTTTCAATGCACGTGTACGTGAGAGACACAAGAGCGAAAATGCTGAATCCCTCGAAAGTAAATGGTGAAACAGAACGAGAAATCCACGGCTGTTCGACAGACTTCAGTATGTGCCGTGCAGTTTTGTGTGTGTGAGAGTTGTGTTGTTTGACGCAGGATGTTTAGGAGGGATCAAAGACTCTAATGATTTCCCTTTTCAAACAACAGCCAATCACACAGCAGAAAAACTAAAGAGCGACAACAAAAGCCTGAGTGCAAAAGTACATCCGAATCTATACAGCCTAGTTTCAATGTGTTAAAAGCCAGACTTGAAGGACAAGCATCTGTATGAGTAACACATAATCAATGGTGTGTTTATTACTGAGGATCTGTGTGTGCTTACATGTGGTATTGGCAGTGTGTTTGTGTGTTTACAAGCCTCTGAGAGCTGTATCTTCTCAAGCAGTACAAGAGCGTACAAGAGTCCTGCCTGCCAGCGAGAACATGATTCACCTCGTTCAAATGACCCAGATACCTTTTCAATTTTCATCTCACCTCCTTTTATTGTGCTTTCACCGTGGTTGGAGGGAGATCGAGAACTACACTGTAAAAAAATACGATCATAATTTTAACGATAAAAATTGCAAAAATGCTATGGTAAAAATCTGTTAACTTGCTACAGTAAGTTTCCTTATTATGTACATTAAAAAAATAAGAAATCTCATGGGACAGTAAAATACAGTAAAATTTACCGTTTTTCAGTTTTCCTGTGTGACACACACATTTGATGGTCTATCATTGAATTAACTTTCTTCTTATCAGATATGTTGTTATCTAAAAAAAATTATATTAGGAGGAATTTTATTACATCTTATGTTGTTAAATGTTGCATGTATTTTTGTGTATTACATTATGTGCATCTTATATAAACATACATATCATATATATATATATATATGTATGTATATATATTTGACTCTATATGTGTTTTTTTTCTTTACCAACAGTGTATTTGGTGGTTGTCAGTGCATTATAAAGATACAAAACATTATTAACATTATATCAGTTACTGAAATATACTTTTTTTACTGTAAATTTAAGTTCAATTCGTAAAACCTAAAATATTACCATGTTACCGTATTTTTTAAGGTAAAGTTCAGGTAACCACAGTTGCCATTTTTTTAAATCGTAAATTTCACTTCATTGGACTTTTTCTCTGCTGCGGAACACACACACACACACACACACACACACACACACAAAAGATATCTAGACTGTTTGTTTGTCCATACAATGAAAGTCAGTGGGCTCCAAAACAACACTGAATTTCATTGACTTTCATTGTATGGACAAAAAAAAAAAAGATATTTTAAACTTCTTGTGTTCCACAGAGGAAAGAAAGTCACACAGTTTTGGAACGACATGAGGGTAAGTAAATTACAAAATTTTCATTTTTGAGTGAACTATCACTTTAACACTACTAGAATTTGTATCATGAGCTCCTTCACATTTCATGTGTGGAATAAAAAAACAGCCTTGTCTGGAGTGATCGAGATTGAGAGAAGAGGAGGAGAGAGAGGACGGAGACAGGAATGACATGGAGAGAAAGGAAAATGATGATAAATTGAAAGCTCAGAGAGACGAGCTGTGTGAAAGTTAGAGCGAGAGAAGAGACGGCGCGAGGGAGAGGGAGTGAGGAATGCGAGGTGTCAGGAGTTCAGCAGTCTAACAGAGGGAGTAAGAGTGCCGAGAGCCAGAGTTAATTACTCAATCAAGATAACGAGCCTGGGACATGCCATTTACAGAGGGCAGCCCACAATTAACCTCCCCTCTCCCACTACACACAGCCGCGAAAGTGCGAACATGCACACACACCCATGAGGTAGTTATGACACATGGCACAAACAAACACTGGTACACAAATTAACACACATTTGCACACAGTCAAAGACACCTGCTGGGAAGAAAATGCACAGGATTGTTTTGATCACTCCAAATTAACAGGCTTGTTTACTTATTGCTAATTTTACTTTAAGTAACTTATTTAGTTAGTTGCATCTGATTTCAACCTAGTTTAAAGAAATATTCCAGGTTCAATACAAGTTAATCAAAGTAGACAGCACTTGTGGCAAAATGTTGGTCATCACGAAAATAAAATTTGGCTTGTCCCGCCTTTTCTAAAAAAAACAAAAAACAAATTACAGCGATGCACTTAAAATGGAAGTGAATGGTGCCACTCTATAAACGTTAAAATACCCAATTTCAATAGTATAAGACAATAAACAATAAGTGTGTTGACATAATTTTAGTGTGAAAAAACAATTTTACAACTTCATTACCATGACAACGTACAATGGTAAACATTATTTAAACATATTTACAGTTCATATAATACATGAGAATTAACAGAAGAATTAATTTGACTGCTTTTATAAAATTATAAGCATTACATTCCTACTTTTAAATCCTTCAAAATTGGCCTTGTTTACCTTCATTGTAAATGTCTCACCGTCATCTTGATTTTTAATTTTTTTTTAGAAAACGAGGAACATACAGAAATTATTTTTGAGGTAATCAACATTAGACCACAAATGCTATCAAAAGAGCTTAACTTTTACTGAACCCTTTAATGTTGCAAACTTTTAGTTTAAAAGACATCTAGTGATTTAATATCTTCACATTCTCTACTGCTTTTCCTCAAAAGAGATTGTCTTTCTTCCCTAAACATTTAATTTATAAAAAATTCACCTGTTTACTGGGGATCTTTACACTTGGCTTGGTTTTTAAGTGTTATATTCTCAGCTCTCATTCTTTTTTAAAAGCTCCTTCTCTCTCTTTCCCCTCCGTGGGGCCCAGGGTGGTTCCGCTCAGTCAAAGTCCTTCAGGAAATACCAGAGAGTAGGCCAGGGGAGAACGTACACCCCTCTCTCCCTCTTTATTTTTTTTAGTTCTGTTCTCTCTCTCTCTCTCTCTCTCTCTCTCTCTCCCTGATGCCTCGACAAAAACGGAATGCGAGACAGAGTCACACTGTTAAAAAAAAAGTCCCGGGGGCGCGAGGTAAAAAGTGCCATGTAACGTTATGAAAGTGAGTTAAGCTCTACTGTAAAGCATGATGGAAATAAATGTGGATGTATATACGGTCATCATGAGTAAAGCTGAATGGTAAGTGCGCGGCTTTATTGCAGGTTTGAGTTCTATCTGGCACCCGGCCAGACTCTTTACAACATCATTCACACTCGACTTTAACAGCTCTGACCTATTACACTGCATATCACCGTAAAGCTGTCACAAAAAGCCAGCCTCTCAACCAGAAACTATAATACCCAGAAAACCCTAAAGACTGCACTACCCATAAAGCATCACCACAGAGGCTTAAACTCACTAAAGGTGGGGGACCTGCCTTCAACAAGCACATAAATCTAAAAACACACAAAAGCATACAGGTCGGTTGCCCACTAAGCTTAAGCCTGAAAATAAAATGGATCTTGCATTCAAATTAAAAGCAAAGCTGCAGGTAAGTGATGATGCAGCTGTGTTTTGCATGCTGGTACTATGACACTCAACATGGGTCAGATAAGACAGACTCCTGCATTCACAGAGTGAGGGCCTCCATGTTTGTGTGTGTGCTGCTCACTACAGGATGCTTTTTATCTCGCTCCTGACCTCTGCCACAGAGCAGATAAGATCACCCCATCCTGATCCTCGGAGTGAAAGGTCAAAGCCATCTTTCATTCCAACAGAAACCAAAAAAACATGAATGCGCTTACATATTAGGTAAAAACAGCACACAGCTCTATACATCATAATAATGCACATGTGCCAGTTATACTGTCTGCCTACTTATGTAAAAATGATCATATAGTTTAAAGGGGTCATATGATGCGATTTCAAGTTTTCCCTTCTCTTTGGAGTGTTACAAGCTGTTCGTGAATAGATAAGATCTCTAAAGTTGCAAAGACTAAAGTCTCAAACCCAAAGGTTAACTTTAAAAAGTTTAGACTTATCCACGCCCTCCTAAAACTCCCCATTTAAACACGCCCCCACATGTCTACGTCACTGTGTGGGAAGATTTGCATAACACCGCCCAAATGTTCACGCAAAGAAAGAAGGCGTAACTTTGATTCTCGCTGTAGTATTGTTGCTGCCGCCGCCATACCGTGGAGATGCTGTGTTTTGTTGTGAAAGCGAAACTACTTTGTTTGGCCTTCCAAAAGAGGACACAACTAGAAATCAGTGGTTAAGTTGTATTTACAACACTGTTCCAGAACAGTTCAACCCAAATATCCAGATGTGTGCAGCGCATTTTACGGAGGACGAGAACTATTTCCTGGGAGAGTAGCCTACAATGCCGGTGTTCTGACAAATAATGCTGACTCACAGACTGTAAGTACATTTTCATATTTAAAGAATTTGCCACTGATGATTCAAACGTGAGTTTTGATCAGTGTAGAGTAGCGCTTGTTGTTTGTCATTTCTCCAATCACAAATGCAGACATGGTTTTATGTTTATGCGGCGAGATGCAATGCAATGTGTAAAAAGACAGTATAAGTCATTATAATTCTTAATTATGTCCCCACTGGACGCTACAAATGGCTCGTTTATAATGGGTTTTAATGTTTTTGTCTCGTCGCACCGGTACATATGACCCCTTTAACTGAACGCTAAAGCAACATTACAGTCATAGGTTTGATTTGGAGGGAAGACACATACTCATATACCCTAAATGCACTGCAATTTGCTTTTGATAAATACATTAACGTGAATATCTGAAGTCGTTTTATCTTCTAATTTGATCAAAAGGAAACACTATCTGTCCATTCTCTAAATATCAAAAAGTCATAAATAGTGTTGAATGCTAAATTTTCAAAAAATAATAAAATGTATTATTACTATTAACATTATAGAAAATAAGAGAAAAATAAAAACAAATAAAATTTTATAAAAAAAATTCATTATTTTCTACCATAGTATTATTTTTAACTACAACGGCAACAATAATTAAAATAACAAAAATTAACAATTTCAGAGAATTTTCCATCATAGTATTATTATTATTAAGAAGCAATAAAAGAATAAGAAAAATAAGAGAAAAATAATAAAGATAATCAAAAAGTATCTTCTATCATTTCTTCTACTTATTATTATTATTATTATATTTTAAAGTATGTATATTAATACCATTACTGGAATCTTTATGTCAATAAGTAAATAAACTTAAAAATTATATTGACAGAGTGAAGATGCTGATGTACATTTTAAGGGACATTAAATCTCAAGACAACATGCATTTAACACTCTAAAAAATACACAATATGCCACAAAAGAACAACTGTCTCAAATTTAAGTCTGTAAGAGAGATGTGTGTAATACGTCTTTGAGTTGCTGGAGGAAACATGCTGACATATCTACCATAATCCACATAATTCCATCATTATGTTGTGGCAATTCCTCAGGGTCACCAAGTCTGTGAGTAGATTTGATGAAATACACACATGGTAAACTGCAGCCAGTGCAGCTTGTGTGTTTTGTCTATCATCAGCATGCATGCTCACACTCACACTTACTTACTGTACATTACATTTATATTCCTGGCAGACACATCCTGAAAGCATTCATACACATTTTGCTACTTATTTTCAATAATCCTTGCTGCATATCCCGCCACATAATACAATAAGACATTCTCAAACCTTGTAAAAATGCAATTAAAAAACAATTTAATCAGCTGAAATTACACCATGTAACAAGATAACCATGGCACAGTTTACCAAAAACAAAAAACTTTGAGATGTACACATAAGTTCAGCTGGGCAAGACATTCATATAAGGCCAGTGTTACTAAACCAAGCGACTGCTGCAAACTCGCCGTTTGTGGAATTGGTTGCATAAATCTTGCTTTTTGCTTTCATTATGCCCTCTCTTGTGCTCCTTTCTCTCACTCTTTCAAAATGAAAAACGAAAAGAAAAAAAAACCATGAGGGTTTCCTGGGGACTGTCTGGAAAATAAAAAGTGAAAAAGAAAAAAAAAGCCTTTGGCTAACTTAGGTCCTCCTTCCTCAAAGTGCCTCATAAAAATAGTTTAAATCAGCATCCGAAAGTATGAAATGGATGTGCAAAATCATATTCGCTGAAAGGCAGAGCGGGGACCGCAGGGTTCACGCAGCGGTCTTCAGCGACCGTCTGGGGGCCACATTCATCAGTTCGAGCCTTCACTATTAAACCCTCTCAATCAGCTAAAAAACAGAGCGCTCGGTTTTGATGTGTTCATTATTGCACCCAGTTCGCTGCGTCCTTGTGCATGTGCAAATGGGAGAATAAAAGTAAGCGAGAGAGAGAAATAAAAGAATGGTCACTGTTTACTTTATAGTGCTCTCCTGCTGGAAATCGTAAAAAAGTTACCGAAATTCACTCTAATATTTCAAGCTTCACTTAAATCGGGGTATTTAAGGCCTTAAAAGGAAGTTAGCATATTATTTCAACGCGCACACACGGTTTCTTTGTCTGAGTAGATGGCGTGTGATGGACAGACAAGGCCAAGCGCATTACCTGCTTTTCTCATTGTGAAGCTAGAGCTACGCATACCTCCTAAAGGAATGTGAGCGAGTGTGTGTCGACTGAAAGAACACATCCAGTGAAAGCGAGATACAGGTTGTATTTGCAGCAAAGCTACAGATGAAATCCTCCCTTACGCACACGCTCGTTATAAGATCTCTAAAGGTTATGCAAATAAAGATGGCCGATTTGAGTTTCATCGTTCGCTCGCAATTTACGCACATCTAACCACAAGTTACGTCTGGCATGATAGCCATCACTCAGAGGCTTCACATGTTGATATTGGGAATGATAATAATGCATTAGAGCCATTCATCTAACAGCAGTTTTGGGTGTGACAGTTATTTTTAGCATTAACGTGGGATCTTTCAGCCAGAAGATTTTTATCTGTCAGTAATTATGCTTTCATAAATCATGCAGGTGTAGTACGAATGAAAATAAATTAGGATGGCTCAAAAACACTGCAGTTCGTGTGACGATTGCCGAGGGTCTCTTTGGATAAACAGGTAGCATATTCAACTCACTGCTTTCCTATTAATAGGTGTGCATTTCATCCAGTTACTCCCTTCAGGTGAAGAAAGTGTGTGTGCTGGCAAAGAGGACCAAAAACATTTTTGAAATTGAAGTAAGATCCTTTTTTTCTATTCTGTTTCTGCCAGAATAAATGATTTGATTAATTATAGGCTTCATCCAACAGATTTTAAAACATGTACATGTAGCCTGTGGACAACGCATTTGTAAATCTATCGCAAATACACACACTCGCTCTCATTCATCCTTGTAAGTGACCTGTGTCCTGTACTGACACTCCTGCCTCCTGAGGAAATGCAGTGATTTACTTTCTATCACAGAGGTTAAAGGTCAAATTCCCATTTCGCTTCTGTGTTGATGGATGGCCTGTTCGGTTTTTGCCTTTTAGAGTCTCTTTAAGTAACCTGGGCTGATATTACGTAACAGCATTTTGAGGTCATCAAAAACCTGATACCAAAAATATTTAACAGTTTTATACCCGAGTAACAGATTTCTGTCTTCCTGCACTGGTTCTTCTTAATCCTCTGACGCCACTCATCTTCAGACTGCATACACTCACACATCTTTCTGTCCTACCTTTATGTAATTTTTTCGTCTGACTGAAAAAGTTCCCTGGAAACACCCCTCTGACCCATACACAGCAAGCATGTGTCTTGGAGAAAACCTCTGATCTGTCAACAATCATTTTGTGTGTTTTCTTTAAAGATTTAGTGCCCTTTCTTATTCCTGAATGACCACCCACCACACACACATACACAAACTGACATCTACTTGTCAGTTATGGACGCACGTTTTGATCATCTTGTCTACTTGAGTACTTCATAGAAAAATACAATTTTTTTTAATTGTTGCTGTCTAAGGCCCGGTTTCACAAACGGGGCTTAGCTTAAGCCAGGACTAAGCCTTAGTTAAATTAAGATATTTAAGCAACTTTTACAACTTTTGCATCTTGACACAGAACAATGACACTGACATATTTTAAGATATGTCAGAGCAAGAGACAGTTGAGACAGCTCAAACATGCATTTTGGTCTGGGACTAGCTTAAGCCTTGTCTGTGAAACCGGGGGTAAAGGTTTGGGGTCAGTAAGATGTTGACTTAAGCTCACCAAGGTTGCATTTATTAGATCAAAAACAGTTAAAACATAATATTGTGAAATGTTACAATTTAAATTAACTTATCTATTTTAATACATTTTGTAATCTATTCTAGTCTTCAGTGTCACATGGTCCTTCAGAAATCATTGCTGATTTGGTGCTCAAGTAACATTTATTATTATCAATCAATGTTATTATCAATGTTGTTTTGCTGCTTAATATACAGTATTTGTGGAAATTATGATGCACTTTATGCATCCTTGCTGAATAAAAGTATTATTTTTACTGACCCCAAATTTTTTAATGGCAGTGTATAAACAACATAGCCAACACATTTGGGGAATTGTATGGTAAGCGACACATTTTTGAGATGTTCTGCCAAGTTAAAAACAAGTTCTTCCAAAAACTCTCAAGACCCCTTCCACTGAGTTATGCCATGTCTAGCTGTTTTTGAAAGAACGAACGTGTCCTGTGTGAACGCCCTCTAATCCTCTCTAGAGATTTGAATGCTGTTGATTTAATAGAGTACAATGAACAATACTGAAACAAATAGCTGTCTGATGATGCCACAAAATAAACAATGAAAACATATTCTCACCACATATCTAGGAGATGTCAACACTTAGTATATTGCATGATATTTTACTACACAGGAAGATACAAACACAGTCTTGTAGTGACTTACCACTTCAGTTGGCCGGTAGTACTTCGGATCCACCTTCACATGAATCTCTCCCGTCTCCTGACATCGGCCCACCTCCTCCTCATTCTTCCCATCCCACCTAAATGTGAGAACAAGAGCTTTGAACACATTCCTTCAACTTATTTGTTTTTCAATTTTGCTGTCAGCATATGCGGTACATATTTATGGTGTGTTTGCGTGTTGTTTTGCGGTCTTGTACAGCCTGTCGGCGAAACAACACCAGATGTGCCAGATTAACCAGATGGGCTTAATCTGAGGTAGATGTGTGTGTGCGCGTGCTCTCACACAATGGTTTTGCCCACGTGTTTGAAGGCCTTCTCCACGAACTCCCGTACGCTGTGCACTTCCCCCGTCGCTATGACAAAATCGATAGGCTCCTTCTGCTGCAACATCAGCCACATCGCCTAAAACAAACAGAAACAACAAGATCAATATCATTATTATAAAGCACAATCTATTTCAGTTGACGCATATGATGCCATTAAGTGATTGATGACACCATATCAAGATGCAAATGATATAAAGACCTCATATAGGACTAAGTGCATCAAAACAGCTTTATTTTCTCAGGTTCACATTTGAGATCAAGTATCAAGACTCCCCCACATTCACACACGACACAGATTCAACACAGACACATCTGCGCCCAGTAGGATGTGCTTTTATGTGGTTACGATCTTACATACACCCCAACGCACAAACACACATGGCCGTCCCCATCCTGACGTCAGCACTAGGCCTCATGGGATGCCAATTGTGGGAATAAAGCACAGAGTTCCCAAGTCCATACAACCACTACACAACGACACAAATGCACAGACTATATCTAAATAGTGATCTAGATGAAAGAGAGAGTGCTTTTGGAGAAATAAATGGTGAGATACTTAAAACAAGAATGCTTGCCAGAGGTCAATGGGTGATACTCTTTTGTCTTTTTTGTCTGGCTTTAGCTCCCTCTCTTTCTCTCTCACACATTTTCTGACTCCAGGGCTTCAGCGTTTAGCCAGTTGGCTGGAGAATCACCCAATTACATTGACAGAACTGTGCTCTTTTCTTCCCTTCAGATGGAGGGATAAAGACCCCATCAGCACGTTTTATGTGCTGCAGTGGGAGCGCCCAACTCATTCATATTTCACTCCGGCTGCACTCACTTGAAAAAAAAACCTCTCAAACGAGTTAACAGGCAGATAGAAAGAGAAACACTGAAGGAACTCACACAGAATTTGATTTTTATCACAGGACAAAGTCTAAGCAATCAAACTGTATTTTAAACATCTGTAGGTTAAATAAAAATGACTGTTCTACATCACAAACCACTAAACACCCACTGAGCAGCTCTGTTTGATTTAGTCTAGTCTGAAATGTAGAAATTCCCTCAACACATACATGCAGATATCCAAAAGAATTTTTTTTTGGCATAAATGAGAACATTTACCTGCCATAAATAAATTTTTTTACTGACCAATAAACTGATTTTTGCATTATTTTATTAAGAGCAATACATAAACATCCCTCACAGACCTGAATCGTTGCAGGCAAGTGTGTCGGACAAACGTGTGTCCAAAAATGTCTAACGTAGAAATGTTGTGGTTTTAGTAAATCCTGAAGTCTGTGCAAGCAGGATTTTTCTTCAGTCTTTGCAATTTTTAAATTAAGAATATATATTTTGTCCCAGTGACAATTGATTTATTAAACATACTTGTGACAAACAGCTGAAGTCACTGTATCATTCACAGCTTTCAGCGTCTGTCATAAAAACATGAAGACGACACATTGCGATGTTGTTCCTCATATTTTTGTTGAGGAATATTCCGCATATGTGTCATCAGAGAGTTATGGAGAAGATGAATGTCTGACAGTACATTTCCCCCCAAGGTTAAAGTAGTTAGTCACGACAGATGTTTTCTTTAGAAGTCACTGACATCAAGCTGGGGTCAGACTTCTTACAGTTTGACAAACCATATAATGTTGCTATTCCTAATAAAATTACCGGCTAATTGGCAAGTAATTTTATTTATACAATTATACAAAGATTATACTGGCAGTTGGTGCTCTGTGAATGCTAATTCTGGAGTATACACACATATACACATAAAATATGTAATAATGACCATGATGACACCATGAGGCTAGTAAGAGGAACGTCACAATCGAGAAAGGTCAAAGGTCTTCACCAATACAGCTTCTAAATGATGAAACCAACATGTAACAGAGTCCCCCCAAGGTTAAAGTAGTTAGTCACGACAGATGTTTTCTTTAGAAGTCACTGACATCAAGCTGGGGTCAGACTTCTTACAGTTTGACAAACCATATAATGTTGCTATTCCTAATAAAATTACCGGCTAATTGGCAAGTAATTTTATTTATACAATTATACAAAGATTATACTGGCAGTTGGTGCTCTGTGAATGCTAATTCTGGAGTATACACACATATACACATAAAATATGTAATAATGACCATGATGACACCATGAGGCTAGTAAGAGGAACGTCACAATCGAGAAAGGTCAAAGGTCAAGACAAAGCTTTTATTCTGTCTTCACCAATACAGCTTCTAAATGATGAAACCAACATGTAACAGAAGTGACTGTGTCTGTGTGCAAGAGAGAAAGACTGAAGAGAAAACAAGAGGGACAGACATAGCGTGAAACAGAGAGGTCAAGTGAAGGGAGGAAATGGTCTGCAACAATCTCTGATCTTATTTTAGTCTCGGCAAACAGCATTCTTAGATTTTTCACTCTTTTGTTTCTCTCTTTCTCACAATTATACACACTGATGGCAAAGTGAAGCACTGTATCAGATTAATTCTTGAAATCTTCTCCATTGTGTTTGGCTTGCTTTAACATCCCTTGCTTTCCATCCTTTTCTCTCCATTCCTCCCTCACGCCTCTCTCCAAGGACCATTAGCGCTGTGAGAGACAGCTGAGAGGCCTGCAGCTCAACTCCCTTCCCCTTCCTTCCCGTTCACACACACTCTCACCTGGCGTTACGGGAGGGGTCTGGATGCTCTGAGGCTCTGGGGGTATTTAGGCAGCAAATGTACAAGCTTTGTGTATAATACAAAAAACAAGATGCTTTCATTATTTGTGTACACGGTTCAGTACCTCATTATATGTACTTTTGTCCCACAATATCATACTCCTAGACCTCTAAGGTCTTCAAAACGATCCTAGACGATCGTTCCTCTCTGTTGCGGCCCACGCTTCATAGCTTGCCGCCCCATATCAGATCCTCTCCTTCTACTGATGTTTTTAATTCCCATCTTAAATGAACAGTTTACACAGTAAACTGTATTACACAATATTTTCAGTATTTACTTGTACTGTCAATTAAACAAAAACGGATCCGCTTGATCTGATAAATTAGGTCAATAATATTAATAGCTTTATAAATAAATGTGATTTGATCTGACTAGAAAAAGTAATAAAAAATTCAAGTGATTCATGAATAAAACAAAAAGGCAATACAATTTTTTTTTTTATTATAAGTCTGACTTAAAGGGACAGTTCACCCAAAAATTCTGTCATTTTTTTTACTGCCTTCATGTCATTCCAAAACTGTGGAACATAAAACGAGATATTTTGAAGAATATTTAAACTGTTTTTGCCCATATAATGAAAGTCTATGAGGTCCAAAACAACACTGGACCCAACTGACTTTTATTGTACGTAGAAAAAAACGCAGACACTTTTGTTTTTGTTCCCAAACATCTTTTTTTTTGTGTGTGTGTATTTCACAGAAGAAAGAAGGTCATACAGGCTTCAAGTCCAGCGCCAGGACTTAGGTCACTTTTCTACAACACTGACCTAACAATAATTATCCTCTGATTCAGGACCTGTGCATGGATTGGTAAACACACACATACATCTGTTTAATTGATCACTTTAAAGCTCAGCGAATGGGTCACAGAGGTAGAGCAAAATGTGAGGTTCAAGGACAGTTTCCTTCTCTAGTGGATCAAGGCATTCCAAAAATGACATGTACGCCAGTTTGTTTTGAATCTGTGTCAGTGTTCCTGCTGCCATCCGTCCATGCAAGCAAACATTAACTTGGATGAGAGAGAGGAGAGTTTCAAAGAAGGTGAAAGAGAAAACAAAGGATTAACTGTGATGACATCCTCTTCTCTGCTTCAATGGCTCTTTTGTTTTTATTTGTCCCCGCAGGCGCTTTTGAATGAAATATCTTGAAATATTCAAATCATTTTAAGTTTTGGAATGGTAAATTATGACATATTATGCAATCACTGGTCATATGACCGTACGCATCCAATCACAATTCTCAAACAAATTTACATTACCTGGGTGGCTAATTTTAAAAAGGGGAAATATGATGAACATTTACGTAATTACACTACCATTCAAAAGCTTGAACACTCCTACTTATCCTTCATTACTACAGTTTTTTCACAGTTTAGAACAAAAAAAAACAAAACAAAAGTAAAAGTCATACTAATTGAAGTATGGGAATTATGTAGTAAAACCAATTAGGATGTTAAAATTCTTCAAAGCTGTAAATGTCATGCATTTAAAAAATGTGTTTTGTAAAGAAATTCATACATAAGCAGAATTTAAATGAAATCTAAGCCTTTAGATCAAATAATTTTAAGATCACGAGAATCTAATTTAGTCCAAAATTGTAAGCGTGTTCAAACTTTGGACTGGCAGTGTATAAAAATTTATACATACTACTGTATATTTATAATATAGTCATAATTGTGTAAAAAAAAGAGGTAAAACCAAAGACCAAAGTTAAGTAAAGAAGCTTTACAAAAAAAGTTATTAAAAGTAAAAAGTACAATATAAAGTTACAGTAAAAGGTAAACTAAAAAGTGAAATACAAAGTACAATGGTAAAGTAAAAACTGAAGAAAAACATTAAACAAAACATTAAATAAAAAAGTTGGGTATTCTTTTTAAAACTTGATAGTTTTATTAACCTTGTTATATTATTATTTACGAGAAAAATATACTTGAAAAAAAACTAAAACAAATTCCTCTCATTTATGACTTAACCTTTTGGCTATTTGCATTTGTTTTAAGTTTGTTACTCTGCAATAAACAAACCTGGAGTTCTCTCTATAACACTAAATATAGTTCAACCAAACACGCATTTACGATTGCAACACAAAAAAGTAAAAAAAATTTTTTTTAAAAAAGGACAAAAAGTACCCACACATTCCAGCTAAATTTATGCCATGTAAATAATTCCTTGCATAAGAAGTCATTCAGGTAGATTCTGCCCTGTATTAATATAACTATTCATAACTGTCCACCGGGAAGGGCACGCACACATACACAGCCTGGAACAGACTCTATAGCTCTAGGAGGGTGCCTGTTTTTAAAAGCCTATTTTTATTTTTGGAGCTGCTGAAAGTTTAAATACTCCCCTCTACCCACCACAACA